ATTTTCACAATAAATCATGCCGAATTAAGACAAGACACCAAATATAAATAGTGTAAAAAATGTAACTAATAGGAATTACCATATTCACACAGTTGATTGAATACATTCAAAATTGGAGGAAAAAAATTATATTGCAAGTTTTCTGAAATGCATTGTCTAAATATGCAAATAAGGCATTAGCTAATTAAATATGCACTTATTTGCATAGATTTCCAGAACAGAAACTGAACATTGGCAATATCTGAACAACTCTTCAGAATACAGATATGAGTAAAACTGTAACGTTTGGTGTGTGTGAAGCTGCTGAAGTGCAGATTTGAGATTGAAACCTACAGATGCAACTAGGTCAAGTGCAATAAAATAAACACTGTTTTGGAAGTTTTCTTTCCACTAGTCTGAAACAACACACGTTATGAAAAGCTATAATCTCCACATTGACCAGTGCATGAAAACGGTTTTGCCTTAAAGCAAAAATATATGGAATGTGCATCAAACCCTCATCCTTCCCTCGGGTCATCTTTTTTAAATTGAGTGTTCATCAGAGGGGTCCAAGAGCATACGAGGAGTTAATAACCTAAAAATGCTAAAACTTTACCAAAAAATGATTTTATAATGTCTACATGTGTATCTGAATGCACACTGAAAAGAACTGACTTTAGGACCCAGCGGAACAGCTCCTCTGCTCAGCAAAGACTCCCAATGTTAGATATTTTGAGCTGAATTAAAAGAGTTATGCATGAAATTGTGAGTTATTTTGAATTTAAGTTGAAAGAATGTGAGGAATGTGCTTAAATTACTATTTATTTATTATTTATTGATCAAATCTAGTAATTTAAAGGTAAATCAAATAAAAAATTGCAAAAAAATCTCCCCAAAAAATGTCATTAAAGATTTTAGCAAAATTAAATAAAATAAGTTTTCTGGACAAAAAAAAAGTATAATTTTCGGGCTTCGGGTCATTATGACCCGCGAGGGAAATGTGTTACAGAGAAGGGTGAGGGTTAAATCAGATGTGACGCTCTGTTCCGAACCATCTGTGTTGCATGAGATATTCTGTTGATTTCATGGTTTCTGTTTTGGATGCATCGGCCTGAACTTTTTTTTTTTTTTACTTTTATTTAAGTGTGAGATTAACACACACTCACTCATATGCTCACACACACTGAACTGGCAGTCAGACTCATGCCGGTCAGTTCTCTTGAAGAGCTTGAGTGTGATTGGTGATGAAGCTGATGTGTGTGTGTGTGTGTGTGTGTTCTCAGGACACACTGCGCGAGTGTCCGCCGGGCGACAGCTCCTCCTGTAACTCCAGCCTGCAGATCATCTCGCCCATGTACTTCGTGAGCTTCGTGCTGACGGCCCAGTTCGTGCTGATTAACGTGGTGGTGGCCGTGCTGATGAAGCACCTGGACGACTCCAACAAGGAGGCGCAGGAGGACGCGGAGATGGACGCGGAGATCGAGCTGGAGCTGCAGGCCGGCCTGTGCTGTCTGGGCCGGCCGGACCGGGTCTCGGGCGCTGGCGGAGGCGAGAGGACGGCGGGGAGCCAGAGGAACACACACACGGCTGCGGTCCACACCAGTCAGAGCACACACACACACCGCAGGACATCAGCGGACACACTCCAGCAGAGGAGACTCTGCTCACCTGCACAGGTTCAGCTCTCATTCACCAGAGTCACACACACACACACACACACACACACACGCACGCACGCACGCACACACACACTCTTGTACATCTATCTTTATGAGGACATTCATTGACACAATGCAATCTCTAGCCGCTTACCCTAACCTTACTCATCACAACTAAGTGCTTAACCCGAACCCTTACCCTAAACCTACCCTTAACCTAATTATAACCTTATCCCTGAAACCAAGTCTTGACCCTCAAACAGGCCTTTAAAGGGGTCTCAGAAAGTGAGGACCGGCCAAAATGTCCTCACTTTACTCTCTTTGTCCTCACTCCAATGGTCTAAAACTCAAACTGGTCCTCACAAAGATAGTCGTACAAGTACACACACACACACACACACACCGCAGGACATCGGCGGACACACTCCAGCAGAGGAGACTCTGCTCACCTGCACAGGTTCAGCTCTCATTCACCAGAGTCACACACACACACATACACGCACGCACACACACACACACAAAAAAACACACACGTACGTACGCACGCACGCACACACACACACACTCGCATAAAAAAAAATCACACGCAGACTCACACAGACACACACACTCATATGCACACACACACACACACACTCGTATGCACTCACACACTCACACAGACACACACATACACACACTCACACGCACGCACGCACACACACACACACACTCATATGCTCACACAAACTCGTGCGCACAAACACACACACTGATATGCTCAAAGACACACACGCAAACACACTCGCGTGCACATACACACACACACACATACACACACGCACGCACGCGCACACACATAAAAAAACAAACATAAAAAACACACACGCACACACACACACACACACACACACACTTGCATAAAAAAAATACACACACACACACGCACACACACACACACACACACACTCATATACTGACACACACACTCATATGCTCACACAAACTCGTGCGCACAAACACACACACTGATATGCTCACAAAGACTTTTTTGTAATATTCAGTTTATGTCGATTGATCTAACATGTACACGTCATTCTTGTGTGTACGTGCGTGTGTGTGTGTGTGTGTGTGTGTGTGTGTGTGTGTGTGTGTGTGTGTGTGTGTGTGTGTGTGTGTGTGTGTGTGTGTGTGTGTGTGTGTGTGTGACAGGAGAGCCAGTGGCTGGAGAGTGTGTCTCTGCTGATGAAGGATTCTCTGGATGGAGAAATGCAGATGATTGATAATCTGTCAGGATCAGTGTTTCATCATTACTGCTCTCCACCAATCAGACGAGACGGCAGGAGCCAATCAGGAGAGGTGAGGATACAACTCGTACTCTTCCTATAAACTCGCTAATCCAGGGATTCACAAACTGTATCAGCCGAGCCCGACAGACGTAGCAGAGAGCCGCGTTTGACTGAAGCGCTGATGCAAACACATCCACATCTCTGCGCTCATGCGTTCTGAACGGCCGGTTTGCTGTGTTTATTATTGTCATTGAGAGGAAAGCGCTGCACATATTTACACATTCATCTCAGCATCGCTCTCAGCGGTGACCGGCGCCGGGGTGTTCGTGAACGTTAACCTGACCTGCTCTTTAGCCCTAAATGAAGAATGAAAAATAAGAGTGTATCAGCGCCTATAGCGTTAGCTGTGCTAATGAGGCATTCGGTGGAATCAGAATCGTTTGATTCTTATGATTCTCATCCCTCATGACTGGCAGAACATGAGCTTATGAAAGATCACGCTTGCTCAGAGTTCGTGAAATAATCATCATGGCTCAATAAATTGTATGTAAGAGTAATTCTAAATGAAACGAACATGGAAACATGAGGATTCACAGCTGAATATTTATGCCTGAAGTGTGAAATCTCCTACAGTCACGATAACAGATGCAGCGAATCAAATCCTGGCCGTGACGGATCGTAGTGTGTGTGTGAGTGTGTGTGAGTGTGTGTGCAGTAGCTCGTTTGATGGTTCTGATCCCTGCATGCATCAGTGTTTGACAGCTTCCTGCGGTGATGAGTGTGTGTGTGTGTGTGTGTGTGTGTGTGTGTGTGTGTGTGTGTGTGTGTGTGTGTGTGTGTGTGTTTTGTAGATCCGGCTGGCGGAGATCGAACAAACGTCTCTGATGTCGGAGCAACTGTCGGATAAATCCTCATCACCGGCTCTCACTGACATCAGCCTGGAGGACCACAGTGTGTACCAGCTACTGGACAGAGACTGTAAGGTGTGTGTATGTGTGTGTGTGTGTGTGTGTGTGTGTGTGTGGGTTCGTTTCAGCTGTGTGTTCTCGCTCGATCTGTGTTTCTGCTGTCAGACTCGACTCGTGTGGAGACTTGCACTGAACACTTCACTGAAGTGCCATCGTGTGCTCACACTTATGGTGTTTCCAACATATATGACGAACAATATACTGTTCATTTATTTGATGAAAGTAATTTTGTGAAATATTATTCCAGTGTAAATCAGCTGAATATATAGTAAAGTGTAATTTCAGCATCATTACTCCAGTCTTCAGTGTCACATGATCCTTCAGAAATCACTCTAATATGAGGATCTGATGATCAAGAAACATTTATGATTATTATCAGTGTTTCAATGAATATTTAGAAATCTTTTGTCATATTATAAATTATTTTGCTGTCTCCTTTGATAAATTAATGCATCCTTGTTGAATAAAATCGTACTGACCCCAAACCCCAGTAGTGTATAAATAATAATAATAATAACTCAAAATTCACTCATTGTAAATCTATCATTGCCATATTTATAATTTACTTCTAAAAGCCTTTTTTTAACATGACTATAAAGATAAGAAGCGTCTCCCCTCTGTGTCTCGGCTAAGGCCTGAAGGGAAGTGCTCTCTTTACATGGCTATAAACAATAGATAAAAAGAAAGGCTTTTTAATTTGATCAAGTGTGCCAGGGAAAAGTAATTAATTCGCTTTTGCTTTTTTTGAATCTGCACTCAGTTTGATTGCACTCAATTTATGTCCTTTGTGTTTGTTTTTGACTGGGGGAAAAACTTTCAGTGGAACACAATATAAACCCACTGCAGCTCTCAAATCTCGTTCAGTCCTAATATGCAGCGTCACACTGTAGGTGAAGCATGATAATAGTGATGACACACACCAAAGACGTGTGTGTGTGTGTGTGTGTGTGCGCAGGAGGAAGAGGGCAGCGGGGGCTTGAGCACAAAAGAGGCCGTGAGCAGAAGCGAGGGATCCAGCCCAGGAAGAGGAAGACAGGAACAGGAAGTGAGGCGTGAGGTCGGAGGTCATCGGCTCCAGTCTCCAGCTCACACCGGAGGTCTGTGTGTTCTCTGTTCTCTCAGCTCTCCGCAGGACTGTTTACATCAGATTTGTTCTTACTCTTTAAGAGGTCGTGTCGAGTTAACATACATCTTGTGTTCTGTTCCATTAATCCATCCAGCTTTTTGAACACCCTAGTAAGCATCTTGCAACCACCTACAATACCATAGCAACAACCTAGTTAACGTCTGGCAACCAGACCAAAAACCCTTGCAAACATCCAGAGCGCCTTACCATCTCCATAGCAACACCCTGGCAACCACCCATAACACCATAGCAACAACTTAGTTAACGTCTGGCAACCAGACCAAAAACCCTTGCAAACATCCAGAGCGCCTTACCATCTCCATAGCAACACCCTGGCAACCACCTACAATACCATAGCAACAACTTAGTTAACGTCTGGCAACCAGACCAAAAACCCTTGCAAACATCCAGAGCGCCTTACCATCTCCATAGCAACACCCTGGCAACCACCCATAACACCATAGCAACAACTTAGTTAACGTCTGGCAACCAGACCAAAAACCCTTGCAAACATCCAGAGCGCCTTACCATCTCCATAGCAACACCCTGGCAACCACCTACAATACCATAGCAACAACTTAGTTAACGTCTGGCAACCAGACCAAAAACCCTTGCAAACATCCAGAGCGCCTTACCATCTCCATAGCAACACCCTGGCAACCACCTACAATACCATAGCAACAACTTAGTTAACGTCTGGCAACCAGACCAAAAACCCTTGCAAACATCCAGAGCGCCTTACCATCTCCATGGCAACACCCTGGCAACCACCCATAACACCATAGCAACAACCTAGTTAACGTCTTGCAACCAGACCAAAAACCATTGCAACCACCCTACCATCTCCATAGCAACACCCTAGCAACACTCTAGCAACCATATTGCAAACTTCTAACGGCAACATAGAACAACCTATGTAACATCTTGCAACCAGATCAAACAACCTTGCAACCCCCCCAGAGCACCCTACCATCTCCAAAGCAACACCCTAGCAACTCCATAGCAACCACATGGGAAAATCAGGCAACCACACAGAAGACCCTAGCAACCACCCAGAACACCCTAGCAATGCCAGCAACCCTAGTACACATTTTCCAACCACCTACAACACCTTAGCAACCGCATAGCAACACCTTGGAAAATGATCAGAATACCTTAGCAACACCCCAGCAACCTAGAACAACCTAGTTAACGTCTTGCAACCAGATCAAACTAACTTTTGCAGCCACCTACACAGTGATGGGAATAACGGCGTTATAAATAACGCCGTTACTAACGCCATTACTTTTTCCAGTAACGAGTAATCTAATTGATTACTCTTCTCATCTTAATAACGCCGTTTCCGTTACTGCCAAAAAAATGCGGCGCTTTACTATAACTGATGAAGCTGTTTTTTTTTTTTTTATCAGACCAACTAGATCTCCGAGCGAGAGGCAAATACTTTTTTTACTGTTCTTCCTTGGTTAGTGGGCAGAGCACGAGACAAGCGCATAAATGCTGACGACTGAGGTAGAGTAAAATGTCATTGTAAGCCAATCAGAGGTAGAGTTGGGCGGGTGTTCGAAAGCACGCATAGTAGTAGGCATTCGGCTCTTTTGACTCAGCTCACTGAAAAGAGCCGGCTCTTTTGGCTCACAAACGGCTCTTTAAATGACTTTGACTATAATATTTCAATTTTTATTACATAATTATTTAATTTCTATAGGCTAAATTTGTAAAGAGAAGCTAAATAGAGTCGGCTCTTCAGATATGCCAGCCATCTCCCGACGTTCACCTAAAAGAGCCGGCTCTTAGAGTCGCCTCATTCGCGAATCGCGAACGACCCATCAAAAGCTCATTCGCGAACGAGTCGATCCATCATCACTAACGGCTAACGCTCATGAATTGCGAACGACCCATCATAACGCATAGTCGGACAGGACAGGACACACAATGAACAACACAAGCCAGCCAGTCAGTCAACGAGAGACAGGTATGGCGACGAGCTTAACAAGCTTAATTTAATTTTGCCCAGTTGTGGCCTGTTGAGGGGCAATAAATATCAAAAGTTCCAAAACATCTATTGTGTTATTTGCATTGATCCACTATATAAACATAATATCTACATGGCATTTGATTGGAGGCTAGTCTCACTTTGTCCCACAGCAACATTTTTTTTTAGATGTGTGTACAATGTTTCATGTTTCTGTTAATAATGTATTAATCTATGTCCATTTCATTATAATATTCAGATTTATCATAAATATTTGAACATGCACATGTATTGTAAGTTCCGTTAAAGAGGGGTAGAGGTGGGGTCACATTTGAGCATTTAAAATTTAATTTTACTTGAAAGTAACGCAATAGTTACTTTCTTAAGTAACTAGTTACTTTTAAAATTTGTAACTGAGTAACTAATTTAGTTACTTTTTGGAAGTAGTAACTAGTAACTATAACTAATTACTTTTTAAAAGTAACTTGCCCAACACTGCACCTACATCACCCTAGCATCACCTTACACTCTGTTTATCTGTCTGTTTGAGACTGCATGGCATTAAAAGCTATTAAAACTACTTTAAAATTTCTGGTTAGTCTTCCTCAAGCCAACATCAAAGTACTGGAAAACTTTATAAAATCTTTTTTTTTTTTTTTTTTTTAAGAACCTCCATCAAAGAACTGTTATGATGTGTTAATGGAAATGCACAACTAGTCACATTTTGAAAAGATGTAGTTTTCCACAGTTAATTGAACTGAAACAGCTGTTGTGTTCGGCTGATCAGTGTGTGTGTGTGTGGCAGATGTCAGTGCAGGAGACAGCCGGACGTCTTCACCTCTCTTCCATCTCCCAGCTGAGTTCTTCCACCCCACCACCGGCGCGATCCCCCAGGGCAGCCCAGCCACCGGAGCGGCCCCGCCCGGCTCCAGACACGCTTCTCCAGCCTCGTGGGCTTCCCTGAGGTCCCCGGGGGCCAACAGCAGGGTCACGTGCTCACAGGTGAGACGCGGCACACGTACAACATAATCAGGACTTGCAGTCAAGTGTCTAGAAGCCTAAATAAGTATGAAGAAGTCTCAGGTAGGCAGAGTCAAGACTTCAAGCATTACAATGGCAGCTTATTCTCGCTAACAATCGTACACTCAGTCGTTCAAACTGGGAATTCGGCACGTTGACAACAGCTGCTCGCTTTGAAAGTGCCCTGTGCTTTATGCATCCCTGCCACAGACTGTAAATAAACATGTTTGTAGTGTGTGTGACGTTACCCGTAGTGTTTCTGAAGAGCATTAATGAAGCCCAAAGTGGGCGGAGCCGGCCGTCGCCATCTTGGCCGCGCGTCACTCCCAGATAAACGTAAATGTGCAGCGAGGCGGATTAGCTGAGGTGACGTGACGCTAACGCTAGCAGACAAACGGCTAGTAGAGACATCAGCGGCAATCCACCTGTCACTCAAGTGGCCACGCCCTTAATTATGCAGAACTTTAAGGCTTAATATAATTTAAACGGATGACTTATAAAAACATTTCCCCCCTCACAGTCGTCATGAAGGGCGACATTAGCGATATAGACCAAAACCACTTTTAGCACCAGACTGTAAACATGTTTTATTCTGCTGTAAAGTTGGGCACTTTAACATGCGGGTCTATGGGATTGAGTCTCTTCTGCAGCCGGCCTCTAGTGGCCAGTGGAGGAACTGCAGTTTAACTCACTCAGTGTTGGATTCAAGGTTGTCGCTTGATCCCTACACCGTTGACAATAGACAATGGACCTTTGACTGGACGAGACTAATTCTGATTGTGGATATCTAGTTTTCTTGCTACTAATTGGCTCAAACTCTCAGAATATCGTTTAAAGATTTCAGGACACTGCACTGGAAAACGTTTTCAAATCCAATGACTAGTTTTTCCTCAAAAGTTCACTATCAACTCCGTGTAATCCTGATGTAATCCTGGCGCACGCTTGGCTCCCTGTAGGATGAGTAAAACCCTCCAATCAGACGTCAACCAGTTCTATACGTTTACTTGCTTATCCCTTTGCTGTAGCGGTGCAACGGATCGCAAAATTCATGGTTCGGATCATTTACGTTTTTTGAGCAAATACACAAATTACAAGCAGAGATGAACACTAAAGAACACAGTTACAAAGTCTAACAGTAGTATTCAGGTACAGAAATTAATAATTAAGCCTAAAACAACTCTATTTGTTCACTGTAGAAATTAATTAAAGTTTATTCTGTGTTAAAGCTGTATTTTGTTGTTTTATAAACATTATGACACAGATAACAGCAGGAATATTAGGCTGCTGTCACTTTAAGACCGAATAAACTGACAAACATCCGGACATGTGTGCCGAACCCTGGGGAGCTGATCCGTACGGATCACGATCAGCTGCGATCCGTTGCACCGCTACTTTGCTTTGATGGTGGTTTGCTTCTCTTTCCAGTGACTGTTTTGTTGTTTCTTGCTGCAGACGTCCCGCAGTAACTCCTCACTGGCCACGGGCAGCTCCATAGGGAGTCTGCAGACCACACTAGAGGAGGGGTTCTCCTCGCCAGGAGACCCGACGCTTCCCTTAATCTGCAGAACCCACGTTCCCCCTCCAGAACACACTCAGAGACCTCGTGCTCCTCAGACTACGCTCAACCTCCAGGCCACCAGGGGGCGGCAGAGGACTCGGAGCAGACACAGTGACTGCACAAACCCTAACTGGATCCGACGGGACCCCACAGAACCATCCGATGAGGAATCAGGAGTTAGAGTTGCTAATCCTGAACAGTTATCGGATAACTTGAGTAGCTTCTCTCTGACGTCTCTGCACCCGCCCGACTCTCTAGCGCCGCCGCTGGCCAAGAAGTGCAACAGCACTGGGAGTTTAGCGGTCCAGAATAAAGATGGGAGACGCTTAATCGGATTCAACCCCTGGACTGACGCGACGAGTGAGGAAACTGAGAGGGAGACCAAGACGTGTAGACAGACTGTGGGTTCTAGTTGGCGTAAGAACAGATGAAATGCACGTTTTGCTCCAGGTATGGGACGATGTATGATCTGTTTTCTGAACTCGTCTCCGCTTTTCTCTTGAGTGACACAAATCTGATTATAGACCAGCCAAAACTCGGCTTCGGTTCTTCTTCAGGGCATTACTCTGGACGCCTCAGAGGAGATGCAGTAGACATGGAGTAGCGTACTGTAAAATCAACTGAGGAACTCATAGGCAAAAAACAGACTTCTCTATCCCACCAGCCGGAGCGTGTAGCGAACGCTAGGTCACACTGGGCGTGTAGCATGTGACGCATTCAAACGCAGAAAGCTGATGTATGAAGAAGCCACGGTTGTGTCATGTCGAAATTACTGCCATTGTTCTGTACTGTGGTTACGAAAATCATTTTCTTCTTCAGCATTTTTGTCTCGTGTTCCAGTGAAAGTGAGACTCTGGCTACGTTTATGCAACCAAATAATCCGTTAGTAATGGGATTGACGGCTCAATGATCCCTCACCTTAATGATCCGATTCAGCTCGATCCCAATGAAATGTCGATCGGATTGAAAGGTGGGGTTTATTCCTTTTCTAATCCGATCGAGAGATCATGTAAACACTTGATCGGATTGAAAACCGAAACTGAAAGGACTGCGCATGTGCGTGGAAACAGTGTAATGACGTGTACGAGCTGTACAGAGTTGTAGATGTAAACGTAGCCAGTGTGTGGGATAAGACTTGTTTTCAGAGAATATCTGTTGAAATTTGTTGGCAAATTGTCTTGTTTAAAGCATAAAGTTGATTTTAATTAGTTTGTATTGACTTTTTTTCCCCCACTAAGACATATTCTCTGAAGGATGTTACTTGTACTGGGAACCAAGCAAAAATACTGGACGAGACAAGAGGAGCGTCTGAAATATTATACTATAAGTACTGCATTTGATAGGAAATTTACTTTAAGAGTATTTAAAATGAAGTATGAATAAAAAAAATGCGGATGTAATACATGCCATGTTGTCATTAGCTGTGTTTCCATCCAATGTTGCGAGTTCAACTCGTGTGCAAAATTGGAATATCACATAAAACATTTGCGAATAAAGCCGCGTTTCCATCCCATGTGTTCACGAGAACAAAAGCATCACTTCCTGGAAACTGGCACTAAATATCAGTAATAAACTAAGTTTCTGCAATCTTTCTCTTTCTCCCTCCATCATGAACGAGTGTGTGTCGAGCGTCAGGTGAAACACAGTAGCCTAATGCTGTCGTGTTCTCTGGCGTTCGGATGCTGGTGTTCGGGAACACACTCGTGTGTGTGTGAGACGCTTCTGGAGGGAATTACACACAATCATTCTGATCACACACTCCAACTCCGGCGTTTCAGAAACACCAAACCAGCATTAGAGACGCTGCGACGCCATTGGTCTACTAGTTACTCCAGTTATCCAATCACAGCTGACGCTGAGGAAAACTCACACATCGAGGGATTTATTCAGTGAATGTGTTTCCGTCGTAGTTTATGTGCATGTCTTCTTATCGGATAAATGTATCCACCTCGACTGAGCATATAAGTTTATGCACATTTTTTAATTTATGTGCACAGAATCTCATCGGCAGTAATAGGTCCTTCATCCCATTTCATGTACTGGTTTTTGTTTACTATATGTCAGTGGCGGGCCGTGCATTTCACACCTAGGCTTTCTGTCCTACCTGAATTAATAACTTTTAATAGTGTAGCAGCGCAAAGACGCTATAATTGTTGTTTTTATTTTGCACCGGCAGTTATTGGGTTAATGCGGTGAGTTAGGAAAAGGCCGGTAACGTTAGAGAGAAACGAGCGCGTGAGTTCTGCTGTTTGTGTACAGTTGTTCTTGCGTTCCGATTATTAGTTCAGAACGGAGCCTCCCTTATCTTGTCGTTCAATGGTTACAATAGTATGGATGTTTGAAAAAAATTAAGTTTCGATCATAAATTTAAAATAAAAATTAAGAAGAAAACAAATCAGATTCACCACGGGAAAAAAGCATTATACTCACCAAAACTACTGCATTATTTTTTTACACAAAATCCATCCTTATTTCTTTCCTCAGGAAGACTTAAATTATCTGTGCGTTTCAGTTCCAACAATAACGAGTCTAATGCTGAAAGTCGAGTCCCGTCATATTTCTAGCACAAGTTTTAATTCGCTTTAGAGAGTGTCTGCTCGACAGAAGCAGTGGACACAGTCACCGCATAACCTGCCGATGTGTACCGCTGTCCCATTCTCTCACACAGAGTTTTGAACGAAAGCAATGAGATCAGCGGGACTTTTGCCTTCAAAATCATTCGTGGCATAACTTACATTAGTCAGTTTTTACCCGGACAGATCGAATATAGTTCCGTGACTCTGCGTTAAGCTCAGGCTGAATAAGGGGGATTTTTTCTGGTAGGTTTGAACCTGCTGGGGGTCAAGGAGGGAAAGAAACATTAATTTGTGGGTTGGAAAAACTATTAAATCTACAGGAATATATTTTAGTTTGCAGTTCGCTACAGATGCGGATAGCCTACTGACTACCAGTAATAGTATGCGCTCTGAGCATCCAATCAAAGAACGTGAAAATGCTGACGTTATTGTATGCCTGCTAGATGGCCCCGCTGCAGTCAAATCGAAATCTGATTGGCTGATTAAATCTGACTGCTTTTCTGATTGGTTAAAGCAACGGTTTCATTGCCATTCATTGTAAGCTACAGGCGCCCGCACTGTCGATTCTGAAGGCCTGAAGGCAGATTTCTTTGACCCTGGCAACGCATGATGGCTGAAATATGATTGGATAAAAGCGCTAAAATAAACATACACTACTGGAAGCAGCGCAACCAAGAGAAAAGCTATGAAATTAAGAGAATGAACTATTGGGAATAATTTAATACTCATTCATGTAAAAAATATATTAAAGTGCAAGTCAGTGATTCTGATAGTGTTTAGGCCAGCAGAGAAGGCCTTGCTGGCTCTGACGGCCCACCACTGCTATATATTAGGGAAGTGGGTATATTTTTCACACTTTTTGTAGTGAACTGAACATTTTCTGTGTAAAAAACAAAATGGCTGCAGTTTTGGCGGTAAAAGATAGTTTGGTACCTATTGATATTTCCTTTATTTTTAAAGACCATTTGAAAATGAGCTCCAGGCACAAAAGAAGCATCATCAAGCTGATTGTTGCTCTTTAATAAAGCGTATAATAGAGATGAGTTCAGTTGTGATGACGCGAGCGAGGAAAACAGCGGCGTCGTTCGCTTCGTCCTCATGTAGGAGGATTGAGTTTAGCAGCCGCCCACAGATCATTAGTGCCGCTGCTGATTTATACACGTGTGATGGTCGTTAGGAACACTGACTCCAGGGTTTGTTTTGGGATGTTGCTCGAATAATGATGGTAGAGACAGAAACATGAGCTCTGATCTGAAACCCAGTGAGCTGCCTCTAGAAAACATCTTCAGGTTTGCTTCTCAACAAACTCTGAGAAGTGCATCGGAGTTGGTCTGACATTTTGCATCACGTTTCATCATCCAACAGGGGCAAACTGTGCGCCCGATTCTAAGCATGTACAGGTGAAACTCAAAAGATTAGAATATTGTGCAAAAGTTAATTTATTTCAGTAATTCAACTTAAAAGCTGAAACTAATATATTATATAGACTCATTACATGCAAAGTGAGATATTTCAAGCCTTTATTTGTTATAGTTTTGATGATTTTGGCTTACAGCTTATGAAAACCCCAAAGTCAAAATTAGAATATTACATGAAATCAATTTAAAAAAGGATTTTAAATACAGAAATGTCAGCCCTCTGCAAAGTATAATCATGCATATGTTCTCAGTACTTGGCTTGGGCCCTTTTTGCATGAATTACTGCCTCAATGTGGCGTGGCATCGATGCTATCCGCAAAATATTCACATTTTTCGAGTTTCACCTGTATGTGTAATTCATGGGCGGGATTATGCTAATTGTGATTAGGTGTGCAGCCTATTTACAAATGATTGGAAAAATCAAATCTGAAGATTACGAAGCATTTGTAAATCTACAGAAGAGTTTTTGGGAAGGTCCATTTTATGCACAATTTACTCCAGATGTATTTATCATATGAAGTGTGTGTGTGTGTGTGTGTGTGTGCTGTGTTTTGTTTGTGTTCATTGAAGTATTGCATGAGCGTTTCAGTTCAGTCTCAGGTGAAGATCCCTATGTAGACGGCAAGGTCGCACACTAGGGTTCGGATTAGAGCTGATGTTTGTTTCTGGAAAAAGTGCACGAGAGATGATGTCACTGTACTGTGAAGATGGCAAAAAGTGTTTTATTTTTTAAGTGTTAAGTGAAATGTCGTTCTTCTACTTGCGTATTATTACGTCTATTTCTTCCACTTTTGCATTTTTGTAGTCTCACTAAAAACACAACATCACATGATGAAGTCTGAGGCCCAAAACACGCTGTATGCAAGAACACACACACTCTTCTAGCTATACGGGACATTGCACTCATCAGTTATATGCAAGTTTGAGTTCAGTTTTCAGTCAGTTTTCTCTTCCAGATCAGGAATCGTATATATGATTTTTCATCTCCAGTTGAGCAGGGAAATGTGCTGTTCTGTCAGAAACATCTGCAGGAGACTTGCGTGTGTACGAGGATGTTTCTGCTGAATGTTTCTGATCCCGCTCGGCTGATTTTGTTCCTCATTTGCACAGCTGATTTGTTTATAAAGGACTCTCAATGCACATTAATTTGCATGATTGCATTTAAATTCATGTAGTCTTTTAGTGTCCTTATTTCAAACCTCCTGCTGTGATCAGATCAGCTTTACTGGAGCGCTGGACCTGTGAGAAAGACTTCTGAGCAAATCATTGACAAAGACATTGATAATTCATTCAAAATGTGACTTTTTTTAAGCCATTTGATGATAATATGATAATATACACCTCCAATATTTATGTATTTGCTCTGAAATGTTCCATCTTTTCATTGTAGCCAGAAGAACATTTAGTTCAAATAATCAAGGCATGTTTTCCACACTCTTTGAACAGAAAAATATTGA